TGGAACTACAGGCACGCGCTACCACGCCCGGCTAATTTTTGATTTGTTGTAGAGATGAGGGCTCAGGCAATTCACTCACCTCGGCCTCCCAGAGCGCGCGGGATTACAGGCTGAGCCACCGAGCCCGGCCGCATTTTATTTTCATAGCGATGTGAGACTTTTGGCGTGTTTTCAGCTGGAGAGAGAGAGAAAGAGAGAGAGAGACAGAGACAGACACACAGAGAGGGACACAGCCAAAGACAGAGACAGAGACAGTCAGAGACAGAGAGATGGAGAGAGAGATACAGAGAGACAGAGACAGACAGAGAGAGATGGAGATGGACCACGCTGGTGGTTTCTGAAGATCCCAAGTGCCATCCCCAATTTGACCCCGAAAAGGACTGAGTGGGACAGCACAGGTTGGCAGGGATGTGACTGTTCCTTTTTCCTGAACTAGAATTGAACAGCTTTTGGAAGTCATCATTATTATTTAAGTATTTCCAAACAATAGGCATTCAGCTTTCTAAAAGTAGAAATGAGCTATTTGATAAATTTAGGACAAAAAAGAGAATAGAATTACATTAAAATTCATCCCCAACTGTGCTTTTCGTGTGTTACTCCTTGTGCTGGGTTCTTCCCCTGTGGTGGTTGTGACTCTAGTTATTCCCATCATTTCACTCCAGCGAGTACTGAATCCTTTTCATTTACCCCTCTTAGGAATCTGCAGTCTTTTAATTCTGTAATCTTTGGAAATGTCCCTCTGTTCCAAACGGAAACCATTCTGACAGCTCCTGAGATCATTCTTCATCCCAACACAAGTGAGATCGACAAAATGTGCGTCCATTGTGTCCGGAACTGCGTGGAGATCACCAAGGTGAGGGTGGAAGCGTCTGTGTCCTTTCTCAGACAGCACCTAGTCACAGACGAGCGGGCCCTCCAGTTGTCGAAAGCAAATGTCCAAGGAGTTTGGGAACACAGGCTCCTCTCTGTTCTCCATCTCTCCCCAGCCCCTCCTCTGTAGAGCTCTGCATGTAGGGGTGTCCCAAAACTGGAGAAGGCTCCTTTTCCTTCTTGCTTAATCTCCTCTTTCTACTTGATCATGACAGTCCATGGCTTTAGTCCCCACCATCATGGAGATGACCGCTGCATTTCCATCTGCAACCCAGGCCTCTCTGCTGCCACCACCTGTGTTTATCCAGTAACCTGCTTGATGGCTCCCCTTGGTGTGGCCAAGAGGGAATTCTTGGCTTCCATCTTGCAGTCTAGTCCTGCCCTAGCTTTCCCCACTTTAGGAACTGGCATCATGTCAAGCCAATTGCTTGAGCCGGAAACCTCCAAGCCACCCGGGATTCTGCTTCCCTTGCCCAGCAGTGCCCAGCCCATCGGAAGCTCTTCCACACCACCCACTGGTTCCCCTCCTTTCCCACATTACCTTCCTAACCCAGGTGGCATCGTCTCTCTCCTGGACTGCTGCAGGGGTGTTCCTCTGATCCATGCTCCACCTCCAAGCTGATCAGAACTAGCTTTAAGAAATGCAAATCACGTCAGGCACAGTAGCTTACACTTGTAATCCCAGCCCTTCGGGAGGGAGGTTGAAGTGGGAGGATTGCTTGGGCCCAGGCATTCAAGATCAGCCTGGGCAACATAGTGAGATCTCATCTCTACCAAAAAATAAAAATAAAAAATTAGCTGGGTGTGGTGGCATGTGCCTGTAGTCCTGACTACTTGGGAGGCTGAGGTGGAAGGATCGCCGGAGCTTGGGAGGTTGAGGCTGCTGTGAGCTGTGGTCATGCCATTGTACTCTAGTCTGGGTGACAGAGCAAGACCCCAACTCAAAAAAAAAAAAGGTCATTTCAGTCAGGCACAGTGACTCATGCCTGACATCCCAGCACTTTGGGCGACTGAGGCAAGAGGATTGCCTGAGCTCAGGGTTCGAGACCAGACTGGGCAACTTGGTGAGACCTCATCGCTACAATGAATCAAAAAAATTAGGCGGATGTGGTGGTGCATGCCTGTAGTACTACCTACTTGAAAGACTGAAGCTGAGGGATTGCCTGAGCCCAGCAGGTTGAGACGTCAGTGGCCGTGAGCATGCCACTGCCCTCCAGCCTTGGTGACAAAGTGAGACTCCCACTCAAATAATAATAATAATAATAATAATACTTTTTTCATGTCATCCCTTGTATATCCACCCGTGACTTCATCACACTTAGAACACCCTCTGCATGTCTTTGCATGGCCTCTGAGGCCTCCACGTCCTTGCACCCGCCCGCCTTTCTGATCTCAGCCCTGCCTGGGTGGTGGTCCATTGTGCCACGGCTCCTGCAGCAGTGCTCTAGCCAGTCCTCTGCCTGGAACGCTCTGCCCGACTTTGACCCGCTGGCTCCTTCTGGCTCGTCTCTCTCCTATTACTCCATCCCGCCTTCTTCCTACCACTTACCACTTACCGTCTGGTCGTGTCTCACTTATTCCCTTGCTCATGTCTCTCTTGACTCTGTCAAGCCCCCAGAGTGCACATTCCACAGGAACACAGTCCCTGAGTGCTTTGTTCACTTTTCCATCCCCAGCACTGAGAACAACATCTGGCATATAGTTGGGCCTCAGTAATGTTTGTTGAGTGAACATCCATTGACAGATCACCCAAACTTTATGTCTTACCGAAAATGTGAAAATTGGGCTACTGCTGTGGATAAGGGATATCACCCCCCCAACACACTGACATCTTTCTTGGTTTGTTCAGTGAGTCAGAAATGTTTCAGGCATTTAGGGGGAGGGGGCATAACAATACGTATAGATATCACAGATAGGGAATTTCACTTCACTGTGCTTGGAAATTAATGACTAAATGGTACATATTTTATAATCCATGCTAATATGGCTACTTATGAAGCCTTTGTTATATACATTCTCTTAACTTGAAGGTGCTATATAAGAGTCTTTGTACAGAGAAAAAGAATACTTTTTAAGGGGTAGTGGAATAGGAAAGATGGTCTATAAAACATCATGAATATTAATCCCAGTGTTTCATGCCAATTTAAATTTCCCTCTTGCTAATAGATGGATTTGAGGCTCTTGGGGAAGGCTATAGTATTTTATATTCATCCACTTTTTCTTTTAAGTGAAAAGAATATATATTTATTCTCTTGGAAAATGTTAAAAATGTATTTTTTAAAGGAAATCTCTACAAATGTACACGCATGACTAGGCCACTTTACGGGGCTTAACTGCAACATCCCTTTGCTCTTTGGGATCCATATTTCACAGCTAGAAAAATGAGCAAAAGTTTTTAACTGGGATCTGAATGACCTTATCTGTTAAGTGGTACTACCCATCTTCTAGAGCTGGTGGGAGGATTAAAGTATATAATACGTGTAGGGAGCTTAGCACAGTGCTTGACAATCAGTAGCTCTACTTAAAGGTTAGCTATGATTCGTGTCATTATTATCAGCAGTAATATCAGAGTAGAAGTAGAAGTTGTCATTTAAACTTTACAGATGGTGAAGCTACAGTTAGAGAAGTAATGTGCAGCACACTTGTGGTTTCCTTATGATTCACGCTCGATTTAAAAGGAGCGTCCTGACTCTGCAGCAGGAAGATGTCAGAGTCTGAGATTTGTCCTGGGACACTGTCGATTCGCCTGGCTCTTTGTGTTTCTTCATCTGTACATGGAGAAGCCACTGTTGTTTTATTCGTCCATAGTGTAGTCGTCTGTTATTGCATAACAAGCCGCTTCAGACCTTCGTGGCTTAAAACAATTTAGCTCCCGGTTCTGTGGGCTGTGCTCTGCTGCGCACTTCTTCTGTTCTTGGCTGAGCTTGCCCGTGCACCTAGCAGTTGATGACCTCGAGCACAGCTCTGATGACTGGCTGGCTGTTAGGTGGACACCTTGTTTCTCCTGCACATGACTTATCATCACCTGGTAGGCTATCAAGCTCATGCATCTGGTGGTGGCCAGACTGTGAGAGCGTGAAAGCGGTACCTACAAGACTTCTTTCGTCCTTGGCTTGGAACTTGCCCTTTCCGTTGGTCAAGTTAAGTCACAGACTTAGCCTGGAATGAAGAAATAAGTCGATCTCTTGATGGAAGGAACAAAGCATTGGAGTAATTTTTGCAATCTAGCATAGTTTATCGATAATAAGTTAATTTTCCATTACTGGCAAAACTTATTATTGAATACCAATATATACACAGGAGAGGCCAAGCACAGCGGCTCATATTTAAAGTCCCAGCACTCTGGGAGGCTGAATCAAGAGAATTCTTTCAGCCCAGGAGTTAGAGACCAGCCTGGGTGGCATAGCTAGACCTCCTTTCCACAAAAATTCAAAAAACAATTAGTTGGGCATGGTGGCATGCACTTGTAGTCCCAGCCACTCGGAAGTCTGAGGTAAAAGGATTGCCTGAGCCCAGGAGGTTGAGGTTGTGGTAAGCCATGATTGTGCCACTGCACTCCATCCTGGGCAACAGAGTGAATATCCAGCTCAAAAAAAAAAAAAAGTATATATGGCAAAATAGATACTAAAATAGCATCTTTTCCCCTGATTCTTGTTTTGCCAGAATTTTGTTCGATGGATGGATGGCAGCTGCATAGAATGCCCTTCGCAGAAGGGGGAAGAAGAAGAAGTTGTCATCATAAGCTTTTACAACGATATTTCTCTGAACCCTCAGATAATTGAGCAAGCTGTTATGATCCCCCAAAATGTCCACAGGATTCTGATCAATCTCATGAAGTACTTACAAAAATGGAAGCGGTACCGACCTCTCTGGAAACTGGATAAAGCCATCGTGATGGAGAAGTTTGCTGCCAAGAAGCCTCCTTGTGTATCATACGATGAGAAGTTGCAGTTCTATTCCAAGATAGCCTCTGAAGTTCTGCGCAACCCATTAATTAAGGATGAGCATTGCATTAGGCTTCAACTTGGGCCCCTGGCAAACACAGTGCAGGAAAATGCCAAGTCCTGGGTGATTTCGCTTGGAAAACTTCTCAATGAGTCAGCAAAGGAGGAGCTCTATAGTCTCCACGAAGAAATTGAGGTGCTCCATCACTGTATTTAATCAAAACAACTTTTCATGAAGGTTGGGTCTTCATTTACTGTTTTTTCTGTGCTTACTTAGTATCTTTGAACTTTCTTTTCTAGCACTTGGCCAAAAATCTTAAGAAGAGTCCCAGTACCCTTGAAGATCTCAAGTTTGTCCTTGCAACAATTGCAGAAATTAAAAGTAAATCTTTGGTCATGGAACTAAGATACAGGGATGTCCAGGAGCGATATCGTACCATGGAAATGTATAACATCTTTGTAAGTCACCTTTTCTTTTCTGATGCATTTTACTGTTGGCTTGGTTACTAAGACCCTTTTGAGAAATACTGGTAGTACACCGCAATAGATTTGTTTTCAAATAAGTGACTTTAATACATTGTGTCAGGTGCTAATGCCTGCAATCCCAGCACATTGGGAGGCTGAGGCGTGAGGATCGCTTGAGCCCAGCAGTTTGAAACCAGCCTAGGTAACATAGCAAGACCTCATTTCTACATCAAATAATAAAAATAACGGGTGTTGTAGTGCGTGCTTGTAGTCCCAGCTACTTGGGAGGCTGAGTGTGGAGGATTGCTTGAGCCCAGGAGACTGAGGATGCAGTGAGCTGTGATGGTACCATTGTATTCCAGCCTGGGTGACAGAGTGAGACCCTGACTAAAAAAAAAAAAAAAAAAAGTAATACATTGTAAAGGTAAAGCAATGTCACAGTTAATAATAAAAACAGAGAGGTTATTTTTTGGTCTTGCATGACTCAAAGGGATTGAGTGGCTTGTAGCTGAAAACATCATTTTTTTTTTTTTGAGTTGGAGTCTCACTCTGTCACCCAGACTGGAGTGCAGTGGCCGCTCCCGGCCACCGCAGCCTCGACTGCTGGGCTCCGGCGATCCCTCTGCCTCAGTCTTCCGAGTAGCTGGAACTACAGTTGCGCGCTACCACGCCCAGCTAATTTTTGATTTATTGTAGAGATGAGGTCTGAACATCATTTTTATCCGTCCTCTCTCCTTTTTTTGGTGTTCATTTCCTTTAATAAATAAAGATCTCTTGCCAAAATAAGAAAAGAGAAAGACCTAAGGCAGTAATGTAAACTTGTAGAAGATAATCCAGTTAGTCTTTTTGTTTAGAGCCGTTCCATTTGGTTCCCAAGGACCTTTCCAAGTCCATGAGTGGGTCTAAAGGCGTCCAGGCTCTCCCTGGGGTTGTGTGGGAAGTTTGATGTACCGGGCATTCCTCAGATGAAAGGATCCTAGGCTTTCCCAATCTATTGTTCAGTGAAGGGCTGAGAACGCCACATCCTAGCACTAGGCCACCAGAGATGCTGGTGTCCGAAGCAGTCAAGGGAGATAAATGCGGAAATACAACTTTTTTTGCAAATCTCAACTTCTAATAGCTATTTGTTCCTCCTTTCTTGTTTGTGCTTCTCTCTCAACCCAGTAGATTTTGTCAGATTATGCAGCCTCTGGTGTATATCACAGAACTCATAGGAGAATCTCTGTAACCAAGGATTTTGCGCTAAATGTACAATGTGTCACACACACAGAAAGAATCAGCATGTAAAATTACAACAACAGCAACAATAGTTGAGTTTTTGATTGGGATTGCAATGCATAAATTAATTGGGAGCCCACGGACAACTTTATAATCTTGAGTTTTCCTATGCACGAACATGTTCTTCCTCTCTTTTATTTAGGTTTTCCTCACATATTCCTCTAAAGTTTTGTGATTGTCTCCATAGAGATTTTACCTATATTTTGCCAGATTTACTCCTAGGTACTTACATTTTTAGATGCTCTTTTAATCGAGATCTTTAATTTCATTTCTTCTTACTATTATATAGAAATACAATGATATTTGGCATAACTTTTACCATTCAGAAATTATTAATTTTAGTCATTTATTTATCCATACTTTCTTTTTTCTTGAGTCGGAGTCTCACTGTTACCCAGGCTGGAGCACAGTGGCACACTGATGGCCACCGCAGCCTTAACCTGCTGGGTTCAGGTAATCCTTCTGTCTCAGCCTTCCAAGTAGCTGGAACTACAGGCGCATGCCACCATGCCTGGCTAATTTTGAAAATTTATTTATTGTAGAGATTAGGTCTTACCAAGTTGTCCTGGCTGGTCTCGAACCCCTGGGCTCAAGCAATCTTCTCACCTCCAAAGTGCCCAGTTCCTAAAACCCTTGGACTCTTTGGAGTGATAAGAGTGTCTTTTGCTGGACTCGATGGCTCAGCCTGTAATCCCGCGCCTTTGGGAGGCTGAGGTGAGTGGATTGCCTGAGCCCGCGGGTTCGAGACCAGCCAGGACAACTTGGTGAGCCTTCGTCTCTACAATAAATCAAAAAACAAGCCGGGGCGTGAGAGCACACGCCTGTAGTTCCAGCTACTTGGAAGGCTGAGGCGGAAGGATCGCCGGAGCCCAGCAGGTCGAGGCTGTGGTGGCCGGGAGCGGCCACTGCACTCCAGTCTGGGTGACAGAGTGAGACTCCGACTCAGGAAAAAAAAGTGTCTTTTATATGCAAAGGGAATGACTGGTGGCGGGGCTCCGGATAACTTCAGGATGGGGGCTGGTGATCAGAAAGACCAAGGATTAATAGAGGCTTGGAACATTCAGGCACTCACCCTTATCACCTTGTGAAGCTGAGAGGGGCTGGAGATTAGAGGTCCCTGGGGGCTAATGACTTAGTCAATCGTGCCTATATAATGACACTTACATGGAAATCCCTAAATGACAGAATTTTGGAGAGCTTCTGTGCTATTGAACGTGTCAATGTGCTGGTAGCATGCCCAGAGAGGGCACAGACACTCTGTGTACCCGGATCCCCATAGCTCGGCCCACTGTTTCTCCTCCACTTGGCTGTTCCTGAATCTTACCCTTTATAATCAACCAGTGGTAGTAAAGTGTCTTTCTGAGGTTATGAACTCTTTTAGCAAACCGTCAAACGTGAAGAGAGAGAGAGAGAGAGAGAAAGAGAGAGAGAGAGGAAAAAAAAGAGAGAGAGAGAAAGAGAGAGAGAAAGAGAGAGAGAAAGAGAAAGAGAGAGAAAGAGAGAGAAAGAAAAAGAGAGAGAGAAAGAAAGAGAGAAAGAGAGAGAGAGAAAGAAAGAGAAAGAGAGAGAGAAAGAAAGAGAGAAAGAGAGAGAGAGAAAGAAAGAGAAAGAGAGAGAGAAAGAAAAAGAGAAAGAAAGAAAAAGAGAGAGAGAGAAAGAAAGAGAGAGAGAGAGAGAGAAAGAGAGAGAGAGAGCGAGAGAGGTGAGGGGAACCCCTGACTTTGTAGCCAATTTGAACAGATGTCTGGGTGCTCTGGGTACCCAGTACTTTCAACTGGCATTTGAAGCAAGGGCAGTTTTATGGGACTGAGCCCTTAAACTTGTGGAGTCTAATTCTAACTCCGGTAGTTAGTATCAGAATTTAACTGAATTGCAGATCATATAGCTTGTGTCTGGATAGTTGGTAGTTGGTACGAATTCCACACATTTAGTGTCAGAACTGTTCTGAGTGAAAACAGTTTAGATCAAGGAAGTTCCCCTCTGGTGTTAGTCTGCTAAGATTTTTTAAAAATTCTAGACAGACGTTGGATTTTATGATCACTAATTCTGCATCTATTGAAATGATGATATGGCATTTCTCCTTTAATAGTTAATGTATTAGTTGTATGATTAATTTTTTGGGGGGCGTTGGAGTCTTCACTCTGTCTCCCAGGCTGGGGTGCAGTGGAATGCTCATGGCCACCCCAGTGTTGACCTGCTGGACTCTGGCGATCCTTCTGCCTCAGCCTTTCAAGTAGCCAGACCTACCAGTGCGTGCTACCTTGCCCGGCTATTTTTATTTTGGTTTATTGTAGAGATGAGGTCTTGCAAATAATTTTTTAATGTTAAGCCACATGCCATCTATCTTCCTTTTAATATATTGTTGAATTTTGTTGACTATTTTTTTTTATTTTTTTAATTTAATTTGTTTTTAGAGACGGGGTGTCAGCTAGTCTTAAACTCCTGGCTTCAAGCAATCCTCCCACCTTGGCCTCACAAAGTGCTGGCATTACAGGTGTGAGCTACCATACCCAGTTGGTTTGCTAATGTTATGATTAGGATTTTTGCATCTATGCTCCTATGTAAGATTAGTCTGTGATTTTGAAAGATGAGTCTTGTAAAATGCACGGGGAAGAATAATCAAATTTTCTATCCTCTAGTTGAGTTTAGTGTAAGACTGGAACTATAACTTCTTGAAATCTGATATTGGAGGTTTTATACGTGTCTGTATGTTTATATATTTGATTAATGATTCAATTTTTTAAAAAAGCTTTAGGACTATTCAGGTTTTCTTTTCTTTTATTCTGGGACTCCAAATCCACATATGTCAGACCTTCTCAGTAATACCCCATTCATTTTACACTCTTTTCTATCTTTTCTTTCTGTGGTTCATTTTAATACTTTAAACCAAATTTTCAGTTCATTAGTTTTCTATTCATTTGTGTCTGATTTATGGTTACTTTTTAAAAAAATGTACCCTGTAATCTATATTATTACTATTATTGTTGAGTAGGAGTCTCACTCTGTCACCCAGGCAGGAGTGCAGTGACATGATCATGCCTCACCACAGCCTAGACCACCTGGGCTCAGGCGATGCTTCAGCTTCAGCCTTCTGAATAGGTGGGACTACAGGTGTCTGTGACCATGGCTGACTAATTTGTATCATCTAGTCTAAATTTTCAAATTTATTTTAATATTCTTCTGTTACCTCTTTGATGGTTGCAGGCCATGAAATTAAGTTTCCATTTTCATCCCTGGTATTGTTTATTTGTGCTTTCCTTTTTTTTTTGAGTTGGAGTCTCACTCTGTCACCCAGACTGGAGTGCAATGGCCGCTCCTGGCCACTGCAGCCTCGACCTGCTGGTCTCCGGCAATCCTTCTACCTCAGCCTTCCAAGTAGCTGGAATTACAGGTGCGCACTACCATGCCCAGCTAATTTTTTGATTTATTGTAGAGATGAGGTCTCACCAAGTTGCCCAGGCAGTTCTCAAACCCACGGACTCAGGCAATCCACTCACCTCAGCCTCCCAGGGTGCGGGATTACAGGTTGAGCCACCGAGCCCGGCTGCTTTCCCTTTTTTATTGTATTGATGAGACTTACCAGAAGTTTACCAATATGATTAATGTTTTTAACCTTTATTGATGCATAAATGTATATAGAGAAATGTACAAATCACCAGCATACAACTAGATAAATTTTCACAAAGTGAACATCCCTCATTGTCAGCACCAGATTAAGGAATAGAACATTACCAACATCCCACAAGTCCCTCCTTTTCTCCCTTTCAGTCACTGTCTTCTTGTAAAGATAATTACTACTTGGACCTCTGACACTATGGATTACATTTGCCTGTTTTTGAACTTCCTATAAGTTATCTAATAAAGTGTGTATTCTTTTGTGTCTTTCATTCATTTTACATTTTGAGAGTCATCCATTGTCATTGTATGTAACCATAATTATTGTCATTGTATGATATTTCAGTTTATAAATGTATCACCATTTGGGCTGTTTCCAATGTTTGGCTTTTATGAGTATTGCTACCATGACCATATTAGTGTATACCTTTGGTGAACTTATAAAAGAATGCATTTCTGTCAAATCTAAACATAGAAGTGGAAGTGCTGGGTTATTGGGAATCCATATGTTCAACTTTACTAGATTCTGCTAGTTTTCCAAAGTAATGGTACCAATTTACATTCATACCAGCATGTATAAGAGTTCTAGTTCCTCCACATCCTTACAAACACTTAGTTTATTATTCTTTTAGAAAGACTTTTGGTTTTCTTGATGTTCTCTATGAGTAGATATTATTCCATCATCTTCTGGCTTCAATTACTTTGACCAATAAGTCCTCTGTCAGTCTTTTTATTGCTCCATTTGCAGTCTAGTCTGGCTGGGTTTTTTTGTTTTTAAGATTTTTTTCTGTCTTTGGTTTTCAGTGATTACAATATGGTATAACGAGGGTTTTTGGGGTTTTGTTATTGTTGTTTTTAAAAATCTTCATTGGGATTTGTACTACTTTTAATGTCTGCAGGTTGATGTCTTTTACCTAGTTTTGAAAAATTAACAGCTTTTGCTTCATTCTTTTATTTTATTCTGGGATTCCAATTCCACATATGTTAGACCTTCTCAATAATACCTCATTCATTTTACACTCTTTTCTATTTTTTCTTTCTGTAATTCATTCTAATTCTTTGAACCAAACTTTTAGTTCATTAATTTTCTATTCATTTGTGTCTGATTTATGGTTACTGATTTTTTTTTTTTTTTTGAGTTGGAGTCTCACTCGGTCACCCAGACTG